TGGGCATGACGGAGACGCAGGCGGTGGAGTAGAGAGGAGAGGACATGCATCTCTCCGCGACCATTTGTGCTGCTTTCCCTGAATCTACGCCTTCTCTGCCTCACCTGTGACTGTGCAGCCAGCCGCCCCTGGCAGTGGTGGGTATGACGGAGAAGCAGGTGGTGGAGAGGAGAGGGCCAGCACCACTCTACTCATTGCGACCATTCTTTTTGCTTGCCCTGCCCTCAACCCATGCCTTTTCTTCCTCGCCTGCCGAGCAGCCAACCTCCGCTGGCAGTGGTGGGCATGACGGAGAAGCAGGCAGTGGAGAACTCAAGCAGCGATGTGCTCGTGTTCACGTCCTCCTTCAACCCCATGAAGAACACCATCTCAGGGTGAGAGAGAGGGGGTTGTATACTCATGTGTCGTTGCATGTCTCTCCATGTGTTCCGATGTCTCTGTGAGTTCCCTCGCATCTCGATGTGCTTGTGTTCACGTCCTCCTTCAACCCCATGAAGAACACCATCTCGTCTCGGGGTGAGAGCAGCGAGCGGCAGGTGCATGTTCATGTAATGTGTCTTGACATGTCGCCCCGTCTTTCCAAGATGTCCTCGCGTCTCGATGTGCTTGTATTCACGTCCTCCTTCAACCCCATGAAGAACACCATCTCGGGGTGAGAGGGGGATGCAATGCATGCTTTTGAGTGCATGTCTCACCATGTGCTGCTATGAGTGTCCTCACATCTTGGCATGCACGTGTTCACGTCCTCATTCAACCCCATGAAGAAACACCATCTCAGGGTGAGCCCATCTCATGCCCATATTTTTCCATGTCTCGCCATAAACCTCACGACTTTTGACTTATCTTGATGTGAGGATGGCATGCACACCTTTGCATTTTGCCAAATCCCTAGTATGCTTTTTCCTCCCCTCCTCCCTTCCTCTCCTCACTCAGGTGCGTGGAGAAGGCGTACATGAAGCTGCTGGTGGACTCATGTAACGAGGGCACATACGCTGACATACTTATGTCTCCCCTTCCCCACCTCCCTCGCTCCCCCCACACCAGCCGCGTGGAGAAGACGTACATGAAGCTGCTGGTGGACTCGGAGACCGACCGGGTGCTCGGTGCCTCCATGTGCGGCCCCGATGCTGCTGAGATCATGCAGGTGAGCGCGAGGGAGGTGAGATGCAGGTGAGAGGGATTCAGGTGAGAGCAATGCATGTGACTTTTGAGTTGACTCAAAAGTCATGGACTGAGTGCTCGTGCCTCCTTGTGCGGGCCCGACGCCGCTGAGATCATGCAGGTGAGTCCAGCCAGCCATGCAGGTGAGGAGGAGGCAGGTGAGTGGGAATGAGGCAGGCAGGCAAGAGTGATGCAGGAAGGTGGTGTCGGTGCCACTGATTTCACATACGTATTAGAACGAATTAGGGTATGATGTGAGAAGGAGCCTGTTGTTCAAATGCGAGTGTGGTTGCATGCTGATGCGTGCTGGAGGTATTTATGTGCTGGTGTGATGATGTTTGCCTTCAGCTGTTCCAACGTAAATCAACTCCATGGTTAACTGGCTTGTGCATGCGTTCGACTTCAGTTTCTGCTCTCAAAAATGAACCCTCGTGTCTCCTACTTTCCTTCGCTTTTCTGCAGGGACTTGGGGTTGCAATGAAGTGCAACGTTACGAAGAAGCAGGTTGATTCCACGGTAAGCCGAGTGTTGTATTATTTGAGGCAATGCTGTGGCAAGTTCAAGCTCAGTGTACAGTTATTGCTTCTACGTTTTCATTATATCGTGCAATTACTTGTGTCGCAGGTGGGAATTCACCCAACAGCTGCAGAGGAATTTGTCACCATGCGGACACCCACACGCCGTCTGCCTGGGATGAAGAAGAAAGAGTAGACACCTGGTTCATTATGAATTTGTGCAATGACAATTCTCTTGACTCCCTTGGAGTCATGTTTAATTCAAGTCACCTGGTAGGTGTAGTTTAGAGGTCAACCAATGCGTGTTGAATCCTGTCCCAGCCACGTGTCTTCACTTCGGTTATGACGCATTGATGGAAAATTCGGCCCTGTCCACGTCAGTACAGCCCCACTGCTGCTCTGTGACACGTAGATGCTCTGTGGGTACATACTTTTCCGCCTGTGAGGTATCAGGGATCTCCTCGATTCTTCCCACCTTCCCAGCTTTCTGGGCTACCTTTATGCACGTCAGCACGAGTTGGGAAACTCCGATTGGTTGAAACTGGTCTGTCAAAAGGCTTCCGTTCACCGAATCACGAGAACGACCACAGCCACGAATTTTCCCTCTCGATGGCATGAAGCGAAGGCGACGATAACAACGACCGCAACGGAATTTCCGATGCATGAAAAACACGTCAACGTCGTTCTCTCGACGATGTCGGAGTCTGCTCACATGCAAAGATGCTTGAAGCACAAGTCAGCCAGCTCATGGAAATGGAGATATGAACGCATTTACCTTCGATGCTTGAAGCACAAGTCAGCCAGCTCACGGAAACGGAGAAATGAGCGCATTTGCCTTCGACTTACGTTTCGTCCTCCTTTTGCCGTCATTTAAGTCACTCGTTTCCTGCTAGTTCCGACTGTCCTGACGCTACTACGCTTGTGACGCGAGAACGGCTCAGCTGTTAGTCAGCCGTCAGTGTATTTAGGTTCTTGCCAAGATATATGTCTTTCCGTCAGTGAATGCCCTTCCGTATCTTGCCACCTCCGAGTTGTGGGGTAGTTTGTCGAAACGGCCTAGGGCCTCCTAAGGAGGCTGTCTGACGTGGTTGAATTGGTGTAAGCATAGTTGCCTTCCTCCTCGGATTTCTTGGCGATGGCACAAGCTTGCGACAACTCCGTCTCTTCACGGCATATAAGCCGGAAAGCTTTTCGACAGGTCTGAGCGTTTTTACTGATTGCTTCAGTAGCAGTCTCTTTTCGAACATATGGAGCTTATCATCAGCTTGTGGGAGTTGCAGATGGAGGTCATTGTTGCCCTGTTCATCTGGCTCGGACTCTTCCATTTCAACACCATAGCTGCCGCTATTGCCATTTACCACCTTCCGAGCAAAACGTCGGTGGTAGTCCTCGTCGTTCTGGTGACGCTGGTGATTATTCCCGTGTCTGAGTCCGAATTTGGGATAAAGGTTGCTTCCTTCATTGCCAGAACTGCATCGACATACTTCCCGATTAATGTGAGCTTGTCAACGACGAATTGTACCTATTCACACCTTGGTAACTCCATACGCATGCTAACCAGCGTCGATTGTACCTTTCAGATGATCTATGAGGACCGCCAAGCACTGGATTCCAACAAGGCGTATATCGTTGCCTTGGAACCCCACCATGTTTTTCCAATCTCCGCAGTTGCCCTGTCTCCCTTGTCTGGGCTGTTTCCATTGCAAAAGATTCGCATTCTTGGGAGCAGCGTGTTGACTTACGTGCCTTTTGTTCGCCATATCTGGCGGTGGCTCAGCATGGCACCAGCCACGCGGAAGCAGTTTTCGAATCTTTTGGCTTCGGGAACGTCTTGCGTCATTGTTCCGGGTGGCTTGCAAGAATCGTTGCTGCTTGAACCGTCTCGTGAGGTGCGATAGTCATGTCCTACGTGTGTGTGCGCAGCGTAATTTTGCCTCGCGATGTTCTCATCTGGTTGTTGCGCATACTGCAGGTACTGTTTTTGAAGCGACGATTAGGATTCGTTCGGCTGGCAGTGGAGTCTAATGTACCCATTATTCCCGTGTTTTCATTCGGTCAGAAGGACGTGTACAGCCACTGGTTCCCTCGCAGCTCCTTTCACACTGCTCTGTCTCGTAAGTTGATGTTTGCTCCAATGCTGATCTGGGGAAGGTGGGGAACGCCCATCCCACACCAGAAGCCCATGACCCTTGTGGTTGGGAAACCAATCCCTGTACCCGACGCTGGGAGTGTTGACGCTGCAGTAGAGAAGATGCACGCAGAGTTCATTGCCGCTGTTGAAAACCTCTACGAGCAGCACAAGTGCGGAGTAGGAGCCTACAACATTCCACTGGTAGTGACATGATGAAGTAAACCAGCTGGTAGTGGCATGAGAATTAAACTATACGTTATCTCCACTTGTAGACATCTCCATGTGCCAGTGGTCTAGTGGTAGAATAGCACCCTGCCATGAGCCCGGTGCAGACCCGGGTTCGATTCCCGGCTGGCACAATCTGAAATTTTGCTGGTTTTTGTACCCCATCCATGTACCGTACCCCAACCAGAGCTCTTGTTGGTGCCACTGCTGTATAAATTAGAGTGGCAAGCTCACCTTTGGCTTCTTTCTTTGGCTAGCTAAGATAGCGTTCATAGCAAGTTCCCCCAAAGCGAACCGCGCTCAACAAAAGTGCACAAATATTTGTGAAGCACGCATTCGGGGTGGCTTTACGAAAGTGTTGTGAACGATCTTGAAGTCGACGGGGTTACATGCGCCTGATTGGGTTTGATAATTCGCTCAAACTCGTTTACGTGTGTATCCACATTCGCATCGCACATGGAGTGGGTGTGCGAGGTTGCAAAACTGCCACGCTGGACCCAAATATCTGCACTTTTGGGCCTCTTGGGGTTACTTCGTTTGGGGGAACTTGCTGTGAACGCCATCTAAGTTGGTCCATCCTCTACCCATTCTACTTGGTTACCTTCAGCTAGAATCCGGGTAGGGGTATATGATACCAGTAGATCAGATTGTTGTATATGATACTAGTACATCAGATATTGCGAATTAGGAAATTGATACCGTATGAATTGTAGGCATTGTAGAGTACAGCAAACAGGAATGGCATTGCGGCATTGTTGTACGGCATTGTTGTAGGTATGGCATTGTGGGCACCGTAGGCATTGTTGTTGTTCTGGATTTTGAGCTTCTACAGTCTCACACAGTTCCCATACTTGCGACCCAATATTGCTTGTTTTTTTAAGTAACCTTATGGTTTTCTTCCCCTGTCTCATAATGAGAAGATGTGTGAGTGTGCAACTACCAAAACATTAAATGATTAAACCCCTGCACTAATCTTCCCCCTCGTCCATTGGCCTATCGCCTCGACGAGGGCCACCGGCAACCTTGGCCATGATGATCTGTCACACACATGGAGACAGCAAACAGGGGATGGCATGTAAATGCGGAGTGTCATTGTTTATGAGAATTAGTATCTAAGTCACATGCATGGAGACAGCAAACAGGGGGAGGCAGGTAAATGGGGAGTCCCAGTATGGTATGTAAGGGGAAATTAGAGTAGGATGAAGGTAGAGTGGTAATGTGGAGGGGGGAGGACCGAGACACAACCAAGCTCAAAGATTGTGGGGCAGGGCAGTAACACATGGAAAAAGTTCCACTCGAGTCTTTTGGAGCGGGCTGTGTTCCATCAAGCGACCCTGTAAGTCACGATGCATTCATGGGGCATTGAAAAGCAGAGTGCAGGTTTGCACGCACCTGGTCCACTCGAAGAACCGTAGTCACTGCGTCTGCAGCAAAACGAATCGCCCAATACCTGGGGGAGAAAGAGGGTGCACAGGAGAGGGGGTGGAAGGGGAAGAGGGGGAGCAAGCAGACTCGTGTGATGACGGGATAACTGAAGGGCTCCACACACAACAGCAGCATGAGAACAGGACTATTGTCAGAAGTGAGGTCCCTCACACCTACACCTATCACACATTATTTGCACACAGTAAGGATTTGAGATGCAAAAGCGACTCACTTTGTGGCAAAGAGGTCCCAGATGTTGTCAGTAGTGAGGTCCCTCACACCAGCACCTGTCAGCATTCTAGAATAGAGGTTGCACACAGTAGGGTGGTGACTAAAGTGACTCACTTTGTCGCAAAGAGGTCCCAGATATTGTCAGTAGTGAGGTCTCTCACGCCCGCCCCCGTGACATCCACTCCCACACGGAAATTGCCGCCCGTGCCGTCCGGCCCACCGGAGTGGGCGGCGTAGAGAGCAGAGAGAATCTCAGTGACGTCCATGCCGGCATTCTCCGCCAGCGTGCGCGGGATGACTTCTAGAGCCTCGCTGTACTTCTCGATTGCGTACTGGTCCAGACTGGAAGGTGGGGGGAGGAGGGGAGTGGGAGGGACAGGGAACGCAAGAGAATCTCAGTGACGTCCATGCCGGCATTCTCCGCCAGCGTGCGCAGAATGACCTCCAAGGCTTCGCTGTACTTGTCGATTGCGTACTGGTCCAGACTGGAAAGGGGACAAGGGGGGGGGGACGGGAGGAAGAATGTGGAGAAGGAGAGGGGGGAGAGGAGGGGAGGAGAGGGGATGAAAGAGGAAGGAAGGGGAGGGAAGGCGAGGGAAGGGGAGGGGAGAGGGAGGGGGAGAGGGAGGGGGAGGGGGAGGGGGGAGGTGGGGAGGGAGGGGAAGGGGTAAGAGAGGGGGGGAAGAACGGGGGAGGCAGAGAGCATCTCAGCAATGCCCAGCCTCTCACATTGCAATACCAGCAGGTAGGTCGGAGCCTCCAGGTTCGGAACCAGCAAGGTCGGAGCCCCCAGGTTCGGAACCAAAAAGGTCGGAGCCCCCAGGTTCGGAACCAGCAAGGTCGGAGCCCCCAGGTTCGGAACCAGCAAGGTCGGAGCCCCAGGTTCGGAACCAGCAAGGTCGGAGCCCCGGGTTCGGAACCAGCAAGGTCGGAGCCCCCAGGTTTGGAACCAGCAAGGTCGGAGCCCCCAGGTTCGGAACCAGCAAGGTCGGAGCCCCCAGGTTCGGAACCAGCAAGATCGGAGCCCCCAGGTTCGGAACCAGCAAGGTCGGAGCCCCCAGGTTCGGAACCAGCAAGGTCGGAGCCTCCAGGTTCGGAACCAGCAAGGTTGGAGCCAGCAGGTTCAGAACCAGGCGGTCGGACTTAGCAGGGTCAGGACCACAACGTTTTCTCATGGCGCTTGGCACACTGCAGGCAGGCAAAGCCCTTGAGTCACTCACTGCAGTGCAGGCAAAGCCCTTGAGTCACTCACTGCAGTGCAGGCAAAGCCCTTGAGTCACTCACTGCAGTGCAGGCAAAGCCCTTGTGTCACTCACTGCAGTGCAGGCAAAGCCCTTGTGTCACTCACTGCAGTGCAGGCAAAGCCCTTGTGTCACTCACTGCAGTGCAGGCAAAGCCCTTGTGTCACTCACTGCAGTGCAGGCAAAGCCCTTGTGTCACTCACTGCAGTGCAGGCAAAGCCCTTGTGTCACTCACTGCAGTGCAGGCAAAGCCCTTGTGTCACTCACTGCAGTGCAGGCAAAGCCCTTGTGTCACTCACTGCAGTGCAGGCAAAGCCCTTGTGTCACTCACTGCAGTGCAGGCAAAGCCCTTGTGTCACTCACTGCAGTGCAGGCAAAGCCCTTGTGTCACTCACTGCAGTGCAGGCAAAGCCCTTGTGTCACTCACTGCAGTGCAGGCAAAGCCCTTGTGTCACTCACTGCAGTGCAGGCAAAGCCCTTGTGTCACTCACTGCAGTGCAGGCAAAGCCCTTGAGTCACTCACTGCAGCGCAGGCAAAGCCCTTGTGTCACTCACTGCAGTGCAGGCAAAGCCCTTGTGTCACTCACTGCAGTGCAGGCAAAGCCCTTGTGTCACTCACTGCAGTGCAGGCAAAGCCCTTGTGTCACTCACTGCAGTGCAGGCAAAGCCCTTGTGTCACTCACTGCAGTGCAGGCAAAGCCCTTGTGTCACTCACTGCAGTGCAGGCAAAGCCCTTGTGTCACTCACTGCAGTGCAGGCAAAGCCCTTGTGTCACTCACTGCAGTGCAGGCAAAGCCCTTGTGTCACTCACTGCAGTGCAGGCAAAGCCCTTGAGTCACTCACTGCAGTGCAGGCAAAGCCCTTGTGTCACTCACTGCAGTGCAGGCAAAGCCCTTGTGTCACTCACTGCAGTGCAGGCAAAGCCCTTGTGTCACTCACTGCATTCCCAAGAGCGTGCATACCATAGTTTTGAGGCGCCTCAAAACTACACTCACTGTATTCCCAAGAGCATGCACACCATCTATCTACCCACGTCGTCCCCCCCTCTCCCCACCTCCCCCACTCTCTTCCATTCACTACCTCGCACATGTCTGTCACTCCCACACACCTCTCCCTCACTCTATCACTCCACCACTGTATCACTTGCGTCCGTGCAACCTGCTTGAGACGTCTGGCAAGCTCAATCTCTCCTCTCACACTCCGCCACCCATCTCCTCCCTCACCGAAATCCTCCACTTGCTTCACACTCTATACTGCCACACTCACCCCACTTGTGTTCGTGCAAACTGCTTCAGACGTCTAGCCAGCTCGATCTCAGTCGCCCCTCCCCCAGGCAGCACCCGGCTGTCACGGCACAGCGCCTGAGAGATAGGACAGCACACAGAGGATGTAATGGGGGTGCAGTGCGGTGAGGAGGGCAGTAGAGTGCGTCGGGGGCCAGCACGATCTCAGTCACCCCTCCCCCAGGCAGCACCCGGCTGTCATAGCACAGGGCCTAATGGGTGGGGCGCAGTGGTCATGAGATGGAGTGTGGTACAGGGTGGTGAGTTGCGGTCCAGTCCAGTACAGTGCAGTGCAGAAAAGTGAAGTGTGGTGGAGTGTAAGTGCAGTGGAGTGGAGTGAAGCAGTGTAAACGCCCTCATGCATACCCTGCTGAACATGTCTAAGTCAACATTCATGCCACCCCACGCCATGCCATGCCACACCCATCATTCACACCTTCATAATAACATCTCCACAGCCTTCTCTAAAGCATCCAGAATGCTGCCTGTGCAGTGCACCCACTGCCATACCCATGCCCCATGCCCCATGCCCCATGCCATGCACCTTGTACGTGTTGATGACATCATCAACAGCCCTCTCCACATCATCCAATATGCTGTCCGTGCTGCCATATCCATGCCCCATAATGTACCCCACGCCATGCCCGACACGACAGCATGCCCCACGCCATGCCCACTTATCTCACCTTGTACGTGTTGATGCCATCGTCCACGGCCCTCTCCACATCGTCCAATATGCTGTCCGTGCTGCCCCGCAACACCACCGTCGCCACCAGATTGCCTCCCGACTCATTCTCCACCACCACCACCTGTGGTATTTGAGGGGAGGGGCGGAGAGGGGGGAGGGGTTGCAAGGGGTTACCACCTCCCGACTCGTTCTCCACCACCACTACCTGTGGCATACAGGGGGGAGGGCGGGAGAGGGGGGCCTGTATGATCCTCCACTAGTACTGCCGCGCAGCACCACCGTTGCCACCAGATTGCCTCGCGACCCATTCTCCACCACCACTACCTGCGGCATACAGGGGGGTGCGGGGCGGAGAGGGGGGAGGGGTTGGAAGGGGTTACCTCCCGACCCATTCTCCACCACCACTACCTGCGGCATTTTTGGGACTGCGAGAAGTGGGGCAGTGGGGGGGATGGAAGGTTGGGGTTGGTTACTGCGTGAATCGTAACCACCACTATTGTCCCGGCCAGGCCATTGCTGCCCTGCAGCATCACTGTCATTTCTTTCGCTCCAAGTTGGCCCCCCACCCCACTCATTCTCCTCCACCACCACCAACCACTGCATCGCGTTGGGAAAGAGGTGACTTTTGAGTCGACTCAAAAGTCTCCGCCACCCCACTCATTCTCCACCACCACTACATGGCGTTGGGAAAGTGAGGAAGATAGGCAAGGCCGGGGGGGGGGGAGAGGGAGGGCGGGGAAGGGAGAAACGAGTTTCCAACACCAACACAGAGTTGAAAATGTGGGGAGTGGCCGGTGGGGGGAGTGCAGAAGGTGGGGTGTGGGGGAGGGAAGAAGTGGTGGGGGTGCAGCGAAGTGGAGGGTTGAGGGTAAGAGAACAACTGTAGATTGTTTTTGAGAATTCTCAAAAACAACGAACAAACAAAGAACCAATACACCAGCAACAGCAGAAGCCAACCATCACTTCTTCCCCCAACCCCTTTCACCCCTTCTCCTCCCCCCTCGTTCCCTGCATGCGTTGGTCTTCAAAACGCCAGATACACACGACAAGCAGCAGCAGCATCACTCACCGTGCTGCCGCCTATCTCCTGCACGGAAACAGAGTCCGCAAAGCCCAGCTCGTCCGCTGTTGGCTTCTGTAGCTTCACCTGCGGGACAGAAAGGTACAAAGGGTAGAGAGGTGCATGCGAGGGAGAGAGGAAGCACAAGGAAGACGACATAAGTTGAAGAAAAGACCAGATACCATCTGCCAAAAACTCGCGCGAACACAGTAAAGCGTGAAAAAGGGCAGAGACTGAATGCTTCACAAGTTGAACCCAATGAAGCGGTCAGACTCTACAAGGGTCAACTCAACAAACCGGTAAACATCTCTTGAGGCGTTGGGAGACAGGGTTACCAGGTTACTCACCAGGGAGACAGGGTTACCAGGTTACTCACCAGGGAGACGGCTCCAGTGGTGCGGCAGAACCGTCGGAGCTCAAACTTGGAGGAGATCTTGAGCACCATGAGCCTGGATGGGGGGGGGGGAAGGAAACAGCAATACACACAGAGACACACAGAGGGACGGAAGGAAAGACACATGGGTGCTAGTAGCATGGTAGTGGTAGTGGCAGGCACCTAACAGCCCCTCACACTTGGAGGAGATCCTGAGCACCATGAGACTGCATGGGAGGGATGGAGACACACAGGCGACAGGTGCACGGAAACACACATATGGGTGCCTGCCAGCACTTTTGCAGCACCTCAGGAGTCTGGAGAGACCTATAGAGCAAGCACGCATGAATGCATACATGCAAGCAAGCAAGCACGAGAACATGAATTCCAGGAAACAGAAGGAGGAGTTGACAACACTGGAATCATTATTGATATAAACCAGAGCTCCCTCCTCTGCCAGATCGATACAACATCATCACCTCCTTGCTCTGCCTCCTCAGGGCGCCTCCTCCTTCACCCCATCCCCCACTACCTCCTTGCTTTGCCCCCCCACTCACTTGTATCGCTCACAGAAGTGCAGAGCCATCTCGCCCACCGTCTGTCCGCTCACCACCACCGTCGCCCCCGACTCCGCCACCTCCCTGATCGCCTGCTCCACCCTCGCCTCCTCTGACTTGGCGTAGTTCTCCAACTGCCGCAATGAACGGGATATTGGGTTATCAAAACGACTCAGTGTGCAAAGGAAAGGGGGAATCAGCAGCATTGACCCGACTCTGCCACCTCCCTGATTGCTTGTTCCACCCTCGCCTCCTCTGACTTGGCATAGTTCTCCAACTGACGGGTGAATGGGAAGGGGGAGGAGAGGGGGGACAATGGGAATGAGAGGCATGGAGCCGCCTCCGCCACCTCCCTGATCGCCTGCTTTATGACTTGGCGTAGTTTTCCAACTGATAAACAGAGTTAGAAGAAGGGGGAAGGAAATGGGGAAAGGGGAAGGGGACGGGGAACGGGAATGGGAAGCGGAAGAGGGAGGGGTAGGGAAAGGGGAAGGGGAAGAAGAACGGAGAGAGGAAGGGGGATAAGAGGGGCATCAAGCGAGTGCCAGTTTTAAGTAAGTGTTTGCGTTAAGTGCCAGCTGAAGCACATGCATCATATAAGCACATATGTGTGTAAACACATCGTGCATCCTAATCACTGCAAAGTGCTCACGCCTGTGTGCACACCGCAACTAGCAGGACATATGTCGTGTGCCATTGTAAAAAGGTCACTATTAAGTCGACTCAGCATTATTAAGAGCGCTTCAGCATGTGTGCACGCCCCAACTAGCAGGAGTCACAAACTGCCAGCACGTACATTGAGTGCCTCCTCCTCCCATATTGAGAAGACCAAGGCGTTGGTTGGAGGCGGCACGTTGCTGTCGGCCCAACGAGAAAGGCGGGCTGAAACAGGGCAATGTGTGCCTTCAGCCCGCCGTCCAATCGAGCCCTTGAAGCTATTTGAGTCAAACGTTTGGGTCAAACTAAAACAACGCCTCATTGCACACGGTTTGTATCAGCCCGCCGTCCAATCAGGCCCTTCGAAGCCATTTGGGTCGGCAAGAAAGGCGGGGTGAAACAGGGCGATGTGCCTTCAGCCCGCCGTCCAATCAGGCCCTTCCACATCTTTCCTTCCCGTTTCCACTCACCCTCCCTCTCCCACTCTCAGTCCCAGTCTCCATCCCACTCTCGTAATCACTCGCTGCAACCGTCTCTCCTTCTCCCTCCCTGCTCCCCTGCTCCCCCCTTCCACCACTCTTGCTCCCAATGCACCTGCTCCCAATGCACCTGCTCCCAATGCACCTGCTCCCAGTGCACCTGCTCCCAATGCACCTGCTCCCAATGCACCTGCTCCCAATGCACCTGCTCCCAGTGCACCTGCTCCCAATGCACCTGCTCCCAGTGCACCTGCTCCCAGTGCACCTGCTCCCAATGCACCTGCTCCCAGTGCACCTGCTCCCAGTGCACCTGCTCCCAATGCACCTGCTCAGCATTTTCAACGAGCACTGTGCCCTTGGTCTCCGAGTCGTGAGAGTCGATTCTCCACCCTCACACTGCGATCTGCTCCCTCAATCCGCCAACCCCCCTTACTCCGCCAACCCCCCTTACTCCCCATCTCTCTCTCTCTATTCCCACCGCACCGCACCTGCTCGGCGTTTTCAATGAGCACGGTGCCCTTGGTCTCCGTGGCTTGCGTGTCAATTCCCGTTCCAAACACTGCGATCTGATCTCCACTTGTGCCACGATCGAAATCAAGACACATACGTGCATGCACATGCGCATAATGCAGTAACACACACACACATACACACACACACACACACACACACACGCACACACGCACACACACGCACACACACACACACACACACACACACACACGCAAGGAAACACACACGGAGCACACATGATGTGAAAACGCCTTCAACCACTCCAACTCTACGAAAAAACTCTCTGGATGCATGCAACCGCACACGCACCCCCCCCTGTATCCACTGGCACGACCCAATACCGAACAACACCGAACAGAACCGCACAGCACCCACCTTGGCCTTAGTTGCGTGCTTGATGGTCCCTGTGAAGCTCATTTTGAGCACCATGCCTCGCACCACCTTGGAGTCATGCAGCCCACTGCCCAGCATCCATTCGCACGTCCCAATACCACACAGCACCGCACTGCACCTTACAGAACCGCACAGCACCGCACAGCACCCACCTTGGCCTTAGTTGCGTGCTTGATGGTGCCAGTAGAGTCCGTTTTGAGCACCATGCCTCGCACCACCTTGGAGTCATGCAGCCCGCCTCCCAGTATCTTGGCCACTCGCACATTGTCCACGTTGAAATTGTTGGGGTTGTTGGGACACACCTGCATGCACGCCTGTTGGTGTTGGAGGGGTACAGAGGGATAGAGAGGGATAGGGATGGATGGAGAGGGTTACATGGCAGTAAGGTTGAGTCATGCAGCCCCCCCTCCCAGTATCTTGGCCACTCGCACATTATCCACGTTGAAGTTGTTGGAGTTGCTGGGACACACCTGCATGCACGCCTGGAGAAAGGAGGCGTAGGAAGGATTATGGAGGGATGGAGAGGGATAAGGACGGATGGAGAGGGTTACAAAGTGGATGGTTGAGGCCTGTAACCTCCCTCCCAGAATCTTGGCCACTTGCACGTTGTCCAAGTTGAAGTTGTTAGGATTGATGGGACACACTTGCATGCACGCCTGTGGTGACGCGGCATAGACTTCCCACAAGTGATTCCAACTCCCATACATTCTCTACAGCAACTCAACTCACCTCAGCAATGAGAGGGCACAGCACAGCCTCGCTGCCAAACTGCTTGCTGGCCACAGCTGCCACGAGGCGCTTCTCCACCTCCGCCTCATTTTTCAAGTGCAAACAGAGACGCAGCCTGACTCAAGGCCAGAAGTGCAACCAGAGGCCCCTCAGCCTGGCGACGGCAACAGCAACTCACGTCAGCAATGAGAGGGCACAGCACGGGCTCGCTGCCAAACTGCTTGCTGGCCACCGCCGCCACGAGGCGCTTCTCCACTTCTGTCTTGCTCCGCACGTCCACCTTGTCACTCCCCTCCGCCACCAACGTCTCCAGCTCCTCCAACACCTGTGAAGCGGGGAAGGGCATGCATGGGGGGAAAATGGATGTGAAGATTTGAGGACGGAGACAAGGATGCAGTGGATGGAGGCGAGTCACCACCTCCACTTCTGCCTTGCTCCGCACGTCCACCTTGTCGCTCCCCTCCGCCACCAAACGCCTCTAGCTCCTCCAGCACCTGTTTACAGCAGAAAGAGAACACACAGGAGAGAGTGGGAAGGATCAAGGGGTCAATTCCAAGCATGAGGGTTTGTGTCAACTTGAAGGCCGCCTTTTGATGCAGAGGAAGGGAATGTTCTCTAAACTTCCTCGTTCTCGAACCCCTCAAACTTGAACCCTTTCACTTCCAAACCCCGCAACCCCTAACCCCACTCTTAAACCCCTCAAACTAAAACCCCTGACAACCAGGGATACTGGGGCGAATCTTTGCGATCTACTACATTCCAGAGTATCGGCTTGTCATAGCCTCGGACTATTACGCGTATCGTCCACCATGGATCGCACAGCACGGATCGCACACCACAGATCGCACACCACGAATCGCATACAATGAATCCCACAGACGAATCGCACACAATGAATCCCACAGACGAATCGCACACAATGAATCCCACAGACGAATCGGCCTCCCCCCCTCACCTAGTTCGTGCCTTGGCATATCCCGTGATGATCTCACTCGAGTGCAGCCCTGATCGAACAAGCTCCTCCGCGCCCTGCCACTTGCACACAGCAGCGTATAAACCCTCCCCAGCCATCCCACTCTCCCCCCTTCTCACCTTGCCTGTCGCCTTGCCCGCCTCTCCTATTGCGCTTTTCACGCCAACCCCCCTACCGCCCACAAACCCCGCCCTCTCCGCTCCCCTCACCTTGTCCGTCGCCTTGGCGTATCCTGCAATGATCTCGCTGGGGTGCAGCCCAGAGCGAATGAGCTCCTCCGCGCCCGCCAGCAGCTCCCCCGCCAGCGACACCACGGTGTTGGCGCCGTCGCCCACCTCCTCTTGCTGCGCCTTGGCCGCCAGCACCACCAGCTTCGCCGCCGGGTGCTGCACCTCCAGCTCTGCGACTATTGTCGCCGCGTCACTCGTCACGAACAGCTTGTCCAGATGGTTAATGATCATCTTGTTCATGCCTGGACCGGGGATGATTGGAAAATACACCCAAAATATGGGGTAATTATTGACGGGTGCTGCACTTCCAGCTCCGCGACTATCGTCGCCGCGTCACTCGTCACGAACAACTTGTCCAGATGGTTGGTGATCATCTTGTTCATGCCTGGACGGGGAAGAAGGGAAAATACACCCAAAATTGAGGGGTAAGAATCGCGGGGTGCTGCACCTCCAGCTCTGCGACTATGGTCGCCGCGTCGCTCGTCACGAACAGCTTGTCCAGATGGTTGATGATCATCTTGTTCATGCCTGGACGGGAAAGAAGCGGAAATACACCGGGAATATGGGGTAAGTTTTAACGGGTGCTGCCCCTACAGCTTTATCACTACCGTCACCAGTCACGAACAGCTGGTCCAGGTGCCTATCACCTCGTTCAATGGCGGACTCTCATAAACCTCAAGCTTCAACCGCGCTCTTGAAAGGAGAGGACAGACGTAACTGAAAGGAGACGGGCGGATGGGGGGCGTTCGAATGGAGAAGCTGGACGGAAGAGTCGAATGCAGAAAAGCGGGTACACTTGACGACCTTCGCGCGTCTCGCTTTGTACCAGTCACTGCACTAGCTCGCCATTCCTACACTCCCTGAGATCAACTTTTGGTTGCGAGAGGTCCTGGCAACCGAGAATACCGGCGCGAGATATTGAAGCATTCGATTCTCAAACGTCGGTGCCGACTCCGACTTGACGAGACACTCTGTCGCCACAGATCAGGTGCTGCAAAACTCGACTAGCGTCGCAGCTACTCGTCACACGACTTGCTAAGACCTACTACTTTGACGAGCCGAACGGTTGGGATCAGATCCAGCTAACTCCTGCACGTGCAACGTCAGCTTGTCGCCGAATTGCCGTTGCTTGGTCCCTGCGACGGCATCGCGACCTGCGACGACTGCCTACTTTTGCCAGTATCATCTATCTACCACATTCCAAGGTACCGGTTTGTCGTTGCCTGTTCTACGGCCTGCGATGAGCAACCGCATATCACGACTTGCATTTGCCGAATCGCGTACAAGGGTCAAGGAACTCACCATTGGGTCCTAGAGACGTGCGCGTGATGTGCGAGAGCTGCTTGCACGCTTCAATGTTCTTCAGCACCGCCTCCTCTAATCCCGTCAGATGCTTGTGCCCTTCCTTGAGCAGCGACTGCAACCCGAATCCCGACGTCATCGCCATGCTTCCGATCCGCGAATCGACGTTTCTGCAAATCTGAGCTTTTGCGAAGCTAAGCTTTTGCGGAACTAAGCTTCTGTAAATTCGAGTTCCGAAATTCGAGAAGCTGGAATCGCGAACGAGATCGGATCTGTAGATCGGAAGGTGCGGGTGAGGCCTGAACTCGCTGATCTCAGAGTAAAAACGAAGCGACGACTGAAACGGTGAAATCAGGCACTGGTCGGCCTAGATGCAGACGGCGTGAGTGTCAAAACTGGACGCTGATGGCGGTGAGTCGAGGGAGAAAGAGACTCCTATGAATGAATTCCTGGTGCCCAGTCTGTTCTTCCTCGACAGTTTTGCCTTGCGATTGTCGGAACTTGTGAAGGCAGCAGATCTCGTTTGCTGCGTCCGCGCCAGGAACTCCGAATTTTATACTCGCTATGGATTCATGAGTACTTACCGTACTTACTTCCAAGAACCAAACCTTTCTACAAAGCACTGAAACAGTACAAAATTCCCTAACTTATTAAACAGAGGTCACAAACTTCTTTGCTATGTTTAAGTGGGCTAAGCACTACGTAAGTGTCAGACGAGCATTGAAGACCAAAAAGCTGATAAATGTTTATCCTTCCATCAAGAAGCTGGAAAGTCACTCTTTTTGTCCATACACTCTACCTCCTCGAAATCCTTCTCACCATCTTCTTCATCCTCTTCTTCCTCACTTTCCTCCTCTATCTCCACCAGGGTCCCCTCCATATCAAACACCATCCGTCCTGACTTTGTACACTCAACGAACTCCCTCCCAGACGGTATACTCACTATAGAGCGATCCATCGCCCACATCGATGCAGACTCCCCTTCCTCCCGTATCGCCTGCCGTAATTGCGCCTCAAAATCCGCAGCAACACTATTCAACTCTTTGTCACCCCACCTCCCTGATAACGCACTCAACCATGACTTGTGCTTCGGCTTGGGAGGCCTGGCCGATGGATCGGGGAAAGAGGACGAATCTACACTGCTGCTGCTGCTCGTCCTACTGCTTCCAGAAGCTGACGAAGAATCACCTGAGCCTGACTTCGAACCTAACCCACTTCCTCCATTTCCTGAACCAGTTTTCCCAATCCGAACAATCCTCCACCTCTTCCCTTTCCGCTTCTGCTTTCCCCCCTCCCCTTCCTCCGCCCTCTCTCCCTCTCCAGCCTCAGGGTCACAGTGCTCTTGACTGGAGAGTGATTGCGATGACAAGCTGCTGCTGCCATCACTTCCTACCCCACCATCCGCAGCTGCATTCCCACCAGCAGAGGGAGCAGCTGTATCACCATCCCCAGTCGGTCCTGCACTAGAAGCACCAGCTGAGCCGGCCGCAGCATTGGCACTACCCGAACTAGCAGAGGCGTGTGTGTGGGGCGCGGGTCTCCATAGCCAGGCGCGCCTGGGCCCGGGCCTCTCCTGTCGCTCGCCCACAAAGCAGTAGAGCATGAGGAGGAGGGCGGAGAGGAGCAGCGAGGCGCCGACTAGCAGGCCGATGAAGAGAGGGGTGGAGAGGGAGGCGGAGGGGGTGGAGGAGGTGAGTGGGTCGGTGGGGAGAGGGGGTGGGGGTGGGAAGGAGGAGGGTTGAGATGGAGGATACAGAAACGGTGTGCTGCTGCCACTGCTGCCGCTACTGCTGTTTCTACTGTTGCTGCTGCTGCTGCTGCTGCTGCTGCTGCTGTTAGAAACAGGCGGTCCGGGTGGCGGATAGGGAGCAGGGGGCGGCTGTGTTTGAGTAGAAGAAGACCCACGAGACGGCTGCTTGGGAGCGGAGGGAGACGGGCGGGGAGGGGAAGAGGGTAAAGGCGGTGGCGGTGATGGCGGCGGACTGGGAGGAGGAGAAAGGGGAGCGGAGGGATCGCTGAGCTGCAGCAGTCCCCCTAACCCGCCGCCTCTCGTGGGAATGGGCGTTGCGAGCTGCCGGGGATCACCAGAAAGGCCCGGATCCGATTTGGAAGGATCACCACCAGAGTGGTTTGGATCCGATTTGGAAGGATCGGCGGAATGGGTTGGCTTCGATTCGGATGGATCAGCGGGTAGAGTGATGGTCGCGTCTGATGCACCCCCCGGCTTGGTGATCGCGGGAGGGGGGTCGGGGGACGGTTGGGTTGCGGAGAAGGCAGGATCTGGGGAGGGTTGAAACGATGGGAAGAAGGGGGAGAGATCGGACGGGTGGGTGGTTTGGAAGGGCATGGGGGGGGGGAGATGGAAGGCTCGCCTACTTGGCCCACTGGCCGGGTCCAGCTTTCCCTCTCCGCTTCCGCCTTTCTCCTTCCCCTTCTGCTTCCGCCTTGCGCTTCCCCTTTCCGTGTTCGCCTTTCTCTTTCCCTTTCCGCTTCCACCTTTATCTTTCCTTTTCCGCTTCCGCCTTTCCACTTTTCTTTCCGCTTCCGCCTTACCCTTTCCCCTTCCGCTTCCGCTTCCCCCTTACGCCTTCCGCCTACTGCCAAAGTTCTTTACTGCTGCGCCTATTGGCGACACCGCCACATTTCTAATGCGTCACAGTGGAAACGAGATCAGGCCGCAACGGAACGGCGGGGAACCAGTCTGAACCAATGGTCGATGCCTGAAGCTGCGGGTAAACCCACTGCGGGTAAACCCACTGCACTTGAGTGGCACTCAACGCACTCCGCGAAAGATGCTTCTCTCTACCAACCAGCCCCACGCCGGCTCGTCCGTCGCCGTCTTTCCTTCTCCCTCTCTTCTTTCCTTCGCCTCCTCCTTCCCGTTTCTGATCCAGGCCAGGTGGGGTAACACGGTAACAGTGCCGATGCGTCAGGGATCAAGCCGCTTCATTCGCTGTTGATATGGTATCCCCCAACGTCGGAGAGGTGAAGCGATGGTGGTTGCGACGTGGAGCAAACGCTAGCACGCGCCTTCGACTAGGCCGTCGACGCGTTCCGCGGAAAGTGCGCCGCGTGCTGCGGTTACCTCAGGTGGCGAGACGTGTCGCCTCGTGATTTGCTGATCTATTGACCGTATTCGGGAGTCCTACCCTAATCAGCCCAAGGGAAATGCAGCCACGAAAACTGTTCAAGTGTGGCAAGGGACACACGGGTTCCACATTGCATGGAACCGGAACACAACGGAAGGAGCACAATCGCATGTAGTCTGCTGCGTATTACACATGTGAGATTAAACTCATCGAACGCAACTACAGCTATCTCGCAAGTATAATTAAGGGTCAGCCAGGGAAACCTGCTTTTCGTAACCGCCTGAAAACATGCGCCTGCCACCAACCTTTCTTCTGTGGAACAACAGCATCCTGAGCGCTAGAGCAGATAGCGAAGTTGGGCAGCAAATTGGGCCGAGATTACATTCTACCGCACTGCTGTGTTTCGAGCATGATTGGATTTTGCTCCCTTGCCGAAGCTCCGCTTGGCTGACTTCCGAACCTGGTTTTGGCGCTTTGACTTTGTTGTGCAAATCAGGTGTTGCCTTGGAACAAACTAAACTCATCCGAAACGATAAAAAACTGATTGAACCGAACCAAACCTCGAAAACACGGTTCGGTAAGGCACAGGCTGGTCAGAAGGTGTGTGTTGTTCTGCGCTCCGCCTTGCGCTCTTGTACAAGAGAAAGTAGCGCGGGGAGAAAAGGAGGGGAAAATGGGTGGGCAGGCTGAACGGGATCGGGTAGTTTAAAATGTTCGGCAGATTTAGAGAAAGTCCATTTTGCAAAAAGTATCCAAATGCGAAGTCTAACCTGAATTTGATTAATCATTTTAGGGCTGTTTGTGCAGCCAACCCTTGTCTGACGCAACATGAAAAGGGTGTGGTTCCATGCAGTGTTTCTTTGGCGCAAGCCGAGCCCGAGTGGGTATCACGGCGCAGGTGACTCCGCGCGAAAGCTCTGAAGTACCTGCGACATGAGAGATGGAATCAAAAGGGGAAATAAACAGATGGTAACAATCAAGGGCCCCTAAAAAAATCGAGATAGTAAGAATCCATGTACGGTCACTGAAAAGGTGTTTCCACTAGTTGGATAAGTCGTTTCACGCGATCAGTCACTATGTAGTGGAATTACACGCAAATGGCTAAACTCCCACCAAGGATACATGAAACTCTACCATTTTCCCGCTAGCACCAGATCCAGATTACAGGCTTCGGAAAAAAAGAAAAAAAAAAACTACAACCCAATTGGATCGGATACGATTTGGGGAGGCATCAATCCTAAACATCAGGGCGACTTACGTGTTTAGGGTTGATCCGCTCGAAAATGAGTCCAGATCCCCTAAAGGTTGTACCTTTTATGGGAGGAATTCCGTATATTAGGACTTGCGTGATTTTTCGCCGGTTAATGGTGGTTGAACGCTTGAACCCTACCGCGTTATCATACGCAGAAAATTACACTTTTAAATGATTGTTCGCAAGTTCTGTGTGCCACAAATATTATCAGGGCCCTTTTTACTTACTTAGCGCATATGTTTCTTTGTTCTTTGTTTCAATATTCTATATTTCTAACGTTGTCGTTCTGTACAACCGCTAAACACGACGGCGAGCTACATCCAAGGGGGATTTTGATCAATATGTCATATACCCTATACAGAAAAAAAAATCACTAACAAAATAATCACACTAGGGCCACTCTGTAACTTAAGAAAAAACAAACGTTGGCAAAACACGGCAAAAGATACGGTACTACTTTCCAACAACCAATCATGGGCCAACAGGGACACCCCAAAAAATTACCATCCTTTCAAGGAAATATCATAGTTTATACTGATAAAATACGATTGTTTTCCACAAGCATTATCTGCGATCAGCTCTGACCAAGATCCAGCCAAATCATTTCTGTAATTTTAATATGTGCAATCATTAAAAAAAATTTTCAGTTACTCCAACACCTTCAAAACTCGTACATATCAGCTCGTGCCAATTGTAAAGAATTCTCCGTGATTTCTTACTAGGTCACACTGTACACGTACAACTCCGGTTTTTGGAGAATAGGCTCGGTCCGATGACCTCGCCCTCAGAACCACCATTGCATTG